CAGTTACTATCAGGAATGCTGGAGGGCAGTCCTTGAGCTCTCTTGGTGCATTCAGATAGCTTTTTGGTTGGGAGATTTCTGGGGATCAGGTATATATAAGGTGTGCACATCTTTCTGGAAGCAGATACTTCTCAGTGGAGGCAGAGTAACAGCAGCCCAGGAGCAGCTGCAGAGGAGGGGCTGAGCAGATTTCGGCAAAAGTAGGCCTGTTCTGAAGAAGCATGGGTACTGCCTTGAACTTAAAGCATGTTTTGTTTTAAGACTTAAGTTGAGGTCTCTTGTATTCAGAATTAAATTGTTTGCATCTTATGGCTTTCTGAAAGAGAAAGAAAGACAAAAGAAGATATGTGAATGGAATGAATTCTAGAAAGGTAAACTAAATGGGAGGACAGTTTTGGCAAGATAGAATAGGCACCGAGTTATTACAGATACTGTTATTTGTAATGATGATAATGCTTGCTTCAGATGATTGCCACACAGTTTGATTATCTCAGCAACTGTGTGATTTCTAGATTAGGAAAACTTCATTAAAATCTTTGCCATTGCATGCGTATTGGCTACAGCTATAGTCATTGGTGACTGACAGTTAGTAACTTGTGCAATAATTTCTTTATCACAAAACTGGAGCTGTCTCAAGATTTGAGTTTTGTTGATTAGAACTTTGTTTATTTTGGTAACTTGATCTTTGTCTTTGAGACAGACTGAATGTAATGTTTTACTGATCTTTTTTGTTTTCTGCCTTCAGTATCGATCTATAAATCACCGTGTGGACTCCAAATCCTTGTGGCTTTATCGATGGTACTATTCAAGAATTTGCCAGTGGTAAGAACTTGGTATTCTTTTTGTTTTTTTCATTTAGGAGTAAGTCTTTATAAAAAAAATATTCTTCATCTTTCTGGTTTTTGTGGGGTTTTTGTTAAATAGTTCGATAATTGTTCCTTTATCCTTATAAGAACTTACTGTAGGAAGGAAGTGAACATGATAGAAGTGGAAAGCAACAAGATATATGAAAGTGTGATCTTGTAGATGACTCTTTGGAACAGCTGTAGGTCTGTTGCATGAGTGGACTGTTGGCATGATTTACAGCACTGTGTGTTTTCCAAGTGTCTATTTCCAAACAGTTAAATAGTATCAGCAAACAATCTTGCTGTTAGTTTCAAAACAACACTGCCTAAGGTTATTGGGTGGTCAGCAGTTACATTATTCTAATACAGGCAACAGCATGCTAATCACATGCTGCCTTGTGGTCTAACCTATCTGTGTTAAAAACGCTATTAAAATGCCTGGTTTACTTCTAAGAAAATTGCTTTACTCTAAGTATTTTGTTATTCTTCTGACTCATTTTGTGGGGTTTGTGTTTTGCTGGTTTTTTTTTTAATTTCATCTCTATCCAAACAGGATTTTGAGTTTAACCATTACTATAATCCTGGCTTTGGCTTTCTTAGAAAAGCCTTCTTCGCTTACTATCACGTCAGACGTACGATACCGTCTTCCTGCATGGAATCCTCCATGTGGCCTAACAGAAAGCATTGAGCTGCTTTGCTTTCTTGTGTTCATGATTGATGTATCCGTGAAGGTGAGCATCACATTCAGCTGGTATGGAATGAAATACTAGGTGTGTTGGGCAGCTCAGTAGATATAGTCAGTGTGGCTGTTCTCCATTTTATATTTTGGGAGAAGTATCTTAGAACTGTTATTCAAATCCTGGATTTGCATGATGAGATTGCTTTGCTATATTGAAGCCTTACTTTCAGGAGAAATTAGAAAGTGCATGTTTTATGAATTAAAAAAATATTGCTTTTATTTTTTTTAACCTAAGAAAAATAAACTTCTATTTGTGTGGAATACGTGAAATAAATTTTGCTAAAACTACAATGATTTTAGCTTAGTTGCTTGTGTTAGGCTATAAAAATTGGCGTATATAATAATCAAATATATGCCAGTTCATTTAAACAAAGTAAAATAAAAATAATCAGAAACTGAACTTTTCTTTGGATATTTGTTTCTGAAAAAGTCTGGGTTTATGATTATTAAATGAACATTTTTTTTCTTGCATTCACATGATTCCTCTCACACAGCCTGTGTGCACCTCTCACTTCTTCTGACCTTTATTTAGTTCTTGTAGAAAAATTCTCTGATCAGCCTATTTTTATTTGGATTTCAGGGAGCTTTCTACGAGCACTGATGTAAAACTACAAATACTTGGAAAACAATTGGTGCTGACTTCTTAGGGTATTGGAATTTATTTTTAATAATAAGTTTTTTTGTTTGTTTCCCACCCCCACCCCCCACCCCCCCTTCCCAGAGTTACTTAATTGGATGGGAAGAATTTTGGAAAAATAAATGGCTGGTGGCTTATATACTGACATTAATTGTTTCCCTTACTGATTGGATTGTATCGCTGAGTTTTTTCTGCACAGAGGTAAGAACTACTTGCTGCAGAAAGAATTGGCAACTTAGTTGTGGAGAGTGGCAGAGAAGAACCTGCAAAGGGATGGTCAGCAGGGCTTATGTGATATATTGGAGAATTAAGAGGGAAGGGTGAGATGGTTCATTTTTGGTCTTTGATAGCTGGATAATACACTGAAACACAGTAAATGCTTGATGTAATGTAGCTTCTCAAGGGATTCTGTTTGATTCTTAATATAGGATGGGAGTTCATTAGTAAAATTAAATGAACTTTGTTGTTATAGTCTGTCAACAGTCAAACAGTATAGAGAAAACTCTGGTTGCATAGCACCAATTTTGTCACACAGTTGGAGAACTATATTCTTAACTTGATTCAATGGTGGAGTCTATGTAGTGATGTTTAAGTGAAAGGTAATTGCAGAGTTTAACAACTGCCTTCTAAGGTGAAGCTGTGTTATGTTCAAAACAATTGTGCCCTGAGAGGAATGTCAGTTTTGTGAAACTTTTCTGAAAGTGTCCTCCTTTATGTAATAATGCTTTCTCCCAATTGGTTTTCTCTACTGTGACATAAATCTACATGAAACTTATTGTTGTTCACTTACAATCATGGTTAAGAAAATACTTCCCAGCATTTTTACCACATTAGTGAATGAGGCAGAGATGTTGAATTTTGCTTCTTGTGTAAGTTCTGGTGTCAAAGCCATTATCTGTTGCCTTCATCTTTCAAACCTGGTTCAAGTTATTGTCCGTATTAGTCAGGATTAGCTTGGATGCCATTGCTACTACTAGTAACTCGCTCTTAAGTTGTTCTTGCTTCGGTGGTCATAGTTGACCATTGGCCACTGTTGACTAGGATGTGTTGTAGTATCAAAGAGATAATTTGAAAATGTTGAAAGAACAGGTCACTTAGATGCTTATAAGCATCTAAGAAAAATGCATGTGTGTCTTTCATATTCAAGCAAAATAACTTCTTTCAGCCTCATTATATTTAATTATCTAGGATGAAAGTTGTGCTTACAACATAGGGAATATGTTTTGGAAAGAAGTGATTGGAAAATCTTTAGGTGTGATAGTGGACAAGTAGTTTGAACAGGAGCCTTCCATCCAAAGCAGTGGCAGATGGAGCAGTTTTAACTGCTGGGATGTATGAACAAGGGAATACAGGAAGAAAGTGATTTATTTTTTTGGTGTTATGTGTGGCCCTGAGACTGATCCTAAAATGCAGAATGCTGAAATACTTGAAGTAGCTGATAAATCACAGAAATAACTTGAAGGCTGGCAAGTATCTTGAATGCAAGAATCAAGCATCTTAATTGCTTTAGTGTATGTTAAGGAAAATCACCTGTTTGAGTCTTGTCAGATGCAGAAAATGCTGAGTAATTAGCAGGCCCTTTAAATATAAAAAGGAGGATAAAAAAATCCTGAAAATTCAAATCAAATACTTGATTTCAAAATGAGTATCTGTTTTTACTGAAACTAGCATGCAGTTGATTCCCTTCTTGAAATAGACCTTGGCAGAAAATATGAAAATGCCATCTCTTGACCTGCTTGTTCTGCCTACCAGGCAGTAAAGTTGGATTGTTTATACTTGTGGCCTTATGAGGCTGTTGAAATGTCAATGTGCATTTTAAAGCAATCTCTCATTCTTTTAATGAGGCACTCGTGTGTAAAATCTCTGTTGCATCTTTTGTTACCACAGTGGGACAGATTTGGCTTCTGAGCACAGCCTTTTTATGTTACACTGTTGACTTCGTTGATGTGTGTATCAGTGTTATTTGACAAACTTGTATTACAAATATTTGTGGTGCTAGTCTTATGGAACTCAGTATCTGATCCACTGGTTTTTTTGCAGAATGTGAGAATAAGAAGAATTCTTCGTCCTTTCTTTCTCCTTCAGAATTCTTCTATGATGAAGAAAACCTTAAAAAGTATCAACAGCACATTGCCTGAAATGGCAAGGTCAGTAATAGCATAGAAAACTTCCTTTCACAGCATGGGTGTGGTTACCATCAGTATTCTCAAGTGTGACATCTGAGTAGCTTCCTCCTTGCTGATCTAGCTACGTGGTTGGTGAGATCAGGTACTAACGGATGGAGCGTTGTGTTAAATTTTTGGTTCTGTAAAATTTCCCTAGAATTCATGTGATGTGACTTTGTATGTGACAGATAAGGTTTTTGATGCTAGTCGAGTGGGGGTTTTTAACTCCGTATATGTTATGTACAGCCATTTTGTAAAGGAAGAACTGAGCCATCATTTGGGTAAAAGTCTATTCTGTGTTTCTCCAAGGTAGAAGCCTCAGAGGTATGGTGAGACACATATGTACTTGTCTTCCCATCGTGAGCGCCACACAACGAGATGCCTCTTTCTTTACATCTTCAGAGTGCTTTACTTCAGCTTTTTCATTTCTAAATGGTTTTAGCCATATATGCGTTAAATTTTACTGTCATTAAAAATGTTGAACTGGAAACCCCACTAATGAAATTGTCACCAGGTAGCATGATGCTTTTTGAAAGAGATCTCTTCTTGTGACCAGGGTCGTGTATATGTACAGCTTGTAGAACTCGCTGTCCTTGTCTGTTACTTTTTAACTAATGAGTCCCAGGAGAATCAAAGGTGTATGCAAGCCAAGATGTTGTTAGGACCATATTTGTACCCTCTAATCAAAATACGAGTGTTAAAATATCATTGACCTCACAACTGTCTAAGCTCATGCTGAGGAGTCCTGAACAAATGTGATTCTTATTCTGAATCAAAACATAGATCACCTTCTGTTAAATCCATATAGCTCCTTAAAAATATCCCTGGTTTTCTTTATATGGCATCCTTTTGCTTTTTCAGCAAAGAATTATCTTATCTTAAGAATAAGATAAAGTTAGTATTAATGCATATGATATGTTTTCTTTCCAACAGTGTTGTTTTACTACTAGCTGTTCATCTGTCTCTCTTTACCATGTTTGCCATGCTGCTGTTTGCTCGAACAAAGGTAACAAATTATATTTATGCTTTGGTAATCTTAGTTTTTGTTGTTTTTCTTTTTCTTTACTCACATAGCTGTTGCATATCTAGTTTTATAATCAAACTGGTGAAACTTGTTTCCCCTGAAAAGGTTATGTTAACTTGTCAAACTTACTGGGGTGAGTTTAAAGGCCATTTAGAGAGATTTAACATGTGCATAGTACCTCTGTATAGTGCTGCTTCTGTAAGTGTGCATTAGAAGGCCCCACCCCAGAATAGTGTTAGAATCTCTTCATCCTTCAGTGAAGAATTCTTTCCAGACTGTGCCTTGTTTCTTAAGTAATAATGCTGCTTCTTACTTGGCAACTGAGATCCTTCACTCTTTCTGTAAGCTGTGGCATATTATTTTATTAGCCTCGCTCTGCTGCTCAAAGCAGTCAGATGGTTCCATACCAAAATGTGGTTGACGTCTGTATTTGGTTTTGGTCCTGCATATTACTGATATTGATGCCATTGTCACAGGTGAGAAATTGAAAGTCTGTTTATATAAGAGGCTTCCGTGTACAATTTTCCAATTTGATCCTTTGAGTTACTTCCTCTGCTTTATTGAAACCTTCTATGCTGTTCTGTGTCCAAAGCTCTTAATCTTGTCACTCTTCTGTTTACATTATCACTCATTTCTTTTCTCTTTTCCTTATCTACCTTTTTGCTAAGTTTAGTTTCTTCTGTGTTTTCTTATCTTCCACTAGTGGTATCCCTGGCCATGCCTTGGTAGGTTTTTGCCTGTGTTTGCCTGTATTACTCTGAGATTTTGGTTTCTGTTCTATTTGGGTTTTCCTCTGTTTTTTCTCTTCCTGCTTCCAAAAAGCAAATTTGAAATTTTGTGGTTAAAATCACTTTTGTGTTCCAGTGTTTTTGGTGTGTTCCCTCTCTCCTGAACTTCCTGTATTTTAATGTATCATACTCAAATTTTTAATTTGTTCTGTCCTTAATTTTTAAGGCCTTCCATAAATGTGTTCCTATGAGCACAAAGACTTGTCGCGTACTTCTCCCAGTAATTTTAATCCCAGTTTTGCACCTTCTTTCCTACTGCAATTTGCACTTGAGCCTGCCTCTAGTCTTCCTTATGATTGGCAAATTCCTTGAGTTCCTGTGTTTATAGAATTTCTGAAATTAGAAGCAGAGCTCTATTTTTTTCCCCTTTGTTTAGTTGCCTGCTGGATCTTTGTATTATCTCTGTATGTCACATCTAATTTCAGTTATGAGCTTTCCCAGCAGATGAGAATATAACTTGTATACCTGAACACGTCCATTTTGTATACATTTTGGTGAAGAATAACAAATTAGCAGTCTTTCTTTCCTTTTTTGATTTGTTAGTCTAATACTCATGCAAACTAATTGTATCTAACAAGGTGAAGTACTGAAAGCAAGTTCTAAAAATACATTGAATAATGAAATTCACGCCTCTAGATTTTTGCATTGTCTTGTGTATGTCCTGTAGAGGTACACTTTTTCAGTCTTTTGCAGCAAAGTCAAGGTCTGTTTGTTCTGTGCTGCATGATTTATGTTTGTATTGTTTGTACTCTGCATCTTTTTTAGCTGTCTATATTTGAACTTGGGGAAAAAATTAAATATGTGGATCATCCAAGATCGGCCTCCCAGTGTGTTTTTGATGAAAATGCTGATACCATCAGAGCTTTAGCAGATCATCTGATGTTTCCACTAAGCCACAAAATAATTTTGATGACCTTAGTTGCTAAAGTATTTGCAAATATTTTTGGGGTGCTGTAGCACTAATATTTTACACACACACACACACACACACCTGCCCCACCCTGATGTTTAAGCTCTAGTTGATGTTTTCATTGACACTGTACATAGCATTTTGAATCTTCATTATTTTCAAATTGGAACAGTTACATGTTTTCCACCTGCCCAACAATTTCTGTAATGTGCACTAATGCTGGTTATAGTATGTTGCTTTATATTGTGTACTCTTATTTGTGTAAATATTTATTTCCTCTAAAATACTCTTGCACTTGTATTCTAAATACATCTTCATGTATGTTATTAAAAAGAGAACTAAAACTTGTCTAACTCTGTTCTGTGTAGATGTTACCGTAATTAAACAGAACCCCCTGAGTATGTAAGGGGATAACTGGAGAAAGGGGAAAACCTCTGTTCCAAGTAGGGGTAGTAACTTTTGTGCAAATAACTTATTCAGAGGATGTTAGGTTTTCTATTCGGAAGTCAGAGGGGAAGTGAGAAACACATTTCACACTTGGTGAGTATGTTAGTGGAGCTGTGGGTGTTTGAGAGGAGCTCGTAGCCTATAGGGAAGGAGCTTTTGTAACATGGTAGTTATTGAGGCAGCTCTTGATTACTGAGTAAGCTGTTTTGTTTCTGTTCTTCGGTATAGACGAGATCTATTTTAATATTGTTCTCAAACTGTATTATACTTTGGGACCAGTCCTGGCGTGTAGTCCTGGAGTATGCTGTTCAGGGTGATTAGATTTCCGTCTACGCTGAGGTGCAGCATGCTGTAGCTGGAATAAGAAAGAAGGCGGCTTCTGTTCTACACTAATTTTTATAATGCAAGTTGAGACTGAGGATGGTATTAGTCTGTTTGTGATTTTTTTTTTTTATTTTTTTTTTAAAAATCATGTTTAGGGAGTCCTTTTAGCTCTAATACACTAATATCTCTTGCAGGCTAAGAGGTAATGTTTTTTGTATCAGTCAAGTTTGGCTTCAGATTCCTGTATTGTCTGTGACGTTATTGTTGTTCTTGAGTCTGAGGTAGTAGCTAGTCATAACTTTTATATTGAGCCTCCTGTGTCTGTCTTGGCTTGCTGTTCTTCCTTATATTTTTTTAATGGCTGTTAATAGGTGAAGTGATTGCAATGTGTTCTTACACGTTGTCCTAATTTTTATGCTTGTTTTGTGCTTTTTTTTCATGGGGTCGATTTGATTGTGTAAGAAATTGTTTGACTGATTATTTAATTTTATTTTTTTCCCCTTCCTTGGTAAGATGGTCTTAGTGATTCTTCAGTGTTTCTCTAACAATGAACATATCTTTGACTAGGATGGCCAGCAGGATAAGGAGTGGGTGGGGTATTTCCGGAATTTGCCAGATTCACTGACATCGCTGCTGGTCCTGCTAACTACTGCAAATAATCCTGATGGTGAGCAATCTTTCAGAAATAACTCTTGTCTCTGTTTTCAAAGAATAGTTGAGTAAGATTATCTTCAGACTACTAAAACCATTATTTTACAGCTGATAGCTCTTAGTACAGCTAGAGGAAGGTTATGTAAAGATTTTTTCATGCCTTTAGTAGCTTGATTCTTGCCTTTCCTTCGGTGTAATAATATATGCAACTTTAAGTGGAGCTATATAACAGCTTTTACCAAAAAAGGTCTCCAAATTAAGTGTTAAATTCTTATTTCCTTTTTTGTTAAATCTGATACAGTGATGATTCCTGCATATTCTATGAATAGAGCATATTCAATCTTCTTCATACTCTTCACTGTATTAGGTAAGTTACCTCTTGCCTTCGCTATTTTAAATGCGCTTTGACACTTGCGCATACCAGCTACAGAGTGTTTTATTTTTCTAGAAAAGTTTAATCATGAACTTCTCCTTTTTTGTATTTCTTCCAGTTACTGTGTAGTGTCTTGTAAGATAATTTTCATGGAAGGTATTTATGGTTTGGGTTTTTTTCAGTAGCAGATCATAGGGGAATGGATACAGTACAGTGTATTCAAACATTAAAAACAAACACAAGAAAATAAATACTTTTAAAATTTTACATCTGATTTACTATATACATTGAAACTTCTTTGAGAAACAGATATGTATTTCAGTAATTCTTACTACCTCTCTTTCTCCAATAGGCAACTTGTTTCTGATGAACTTGCTTACAGCAATAATATACAACCAGTTTCGTGGATACCTTTTGGTGAGTAAAGCATTCCTAATTTCTGTGTTCTACCATAACTTTAAAACTGTGAGGCCCTAAGTATTAAAAGTTTCAATTGTGTATTAAAGCAGTATGCCTGTCCTGGTTGTAGGTAGTTTTAAGATACTAAAGGTTCTTTGATGTAGATACTTTTCCCCTTATATGCTGTTGTATCTTGATCCCCTTCCAAGACAAAATTACTTGCTTGTATACTTCCATGTACACTGTGGATCTGCAACTTTGACTAGTATAGGAAAAAAAAATCAAACGATTATAAAACTGAACAAAGGTAAGTAAACAAGCAACTTAAACTTGTTCTCTGTGAAGAAAGCCTGTGGTACTATTTAAATAGCTATTGTTGCAAAGCTTAGTACTTCATTTCTCTGACTAGCACAGCATGAGAAGCCTTCAATAAAAAAGAATCACTGACTAAAATATCTTCATGTTTGGAATTTTTTACTTCTTCCTTACCATGGTGGCTGTGTGCGATGTTAGAGCGATTAGGGCAGTCTGTTGCCTCTTGAAAGATGGCCTTGAGCCTTGTGATTGGCTTGCACCAGAAGCAGTTGCCAGCAGGTGTAGTAATTATTCTTGGTAGTATCCAGTCTCAAATAAAAGGACCTGTGCTTATTTTCCATGCAATGCCAGTCATCCATGTAGTACTTTAATGTACTTCTGGAAGATGCCTGGTCATATGCGATTCTCTGCTCTCCATTTTGTGAAATGTGAATCTGATGTACAGTGTAATGACCTCTTTTGACTCGGGTGCCTATATTAAAGAAGTAAAAGCTGACAAAGTAAGTGTACTTTTTATATGTTGTGCAAGGAGTGTGCAATCTGTGGTGATGATTAAATTCATCACTAAAAGTTCTTTGTCCTTTATTGACAAGTTGTGCTATGTGCTTTGTTGCATTCTGTACACCAGTTGTTTAGTCTGCAACTGAGAGGGTAATCTGTATTCCCTTAGCAGGAAATAGTGTAAGTGCTTTTGTTTTCTGTATGTGATAATGCAGTTGAACAATCTGGGAGGAATTGTAATGAGTTGAGGCAAGAGTATTTTAGAAAGCAGAGACAAAGTCAGTCAAATGAAAGATCATCTCAGTTACTTCCAATAAAATGTACTTCATCCAAGAGGTTAAACTTGTGTCTTTCCTGTTGCTGTTCCAAAAAGAAATAACTGACTGGGTGGGTGATGGGAGGAAAAGGCTGAGTGATGGGTGCAGCTGGAGATCTCCAGAACTGGGTTTATCTCCAGCAATGAGTACAAAACATCCAAGGTGCAGCACAGCTACTTAGTGGTTAACACACATAAGAGATTAGTAGAAATAACACAGCGCTAGGCTAAGTATTAATGGTTATCACACTGGCACGCAACTGAATCTTTGGTCATCAGTCAGAAGGGGAGCTGTCACTCTCTTGCTCCTCAGAACAGGCTGAGACTTGATCTTGCTGAGGTGCGATCTTCAAACTGTTTGAGATTTTTCTTTGAGCTTTAACTTCCATGGTGAAATTGTTCTCTCAAGTCAAATTAGTTCTTTAACAGTTACGCTTCCTCCTGTGTGTTTTACTTTCCTCTTGCATATTTTGTAAAACTTCACAACTCAACAGCAATGCTTTTGGTAAAGCTGAGTCAGGTTAGCACTATGCAAAATCACTGGAGCCTGACAGCTAACCCTCTGGGCTGTACGTTGAGCTTTTTTTCCCTTGGTGCCAGTATGGTGACGGCCTCTGTAGCTTGGAATAAACAGCAGCTCCCGATTGTGTACGTTGCAACTGATCTTGTCTTATGCCAATAGTTTCCTTCAGGTTTAGTGGCAGGGGAAATGTGGTGAGTTTTTGGCTATGATTTCCCCTTACTTAGATATGGTCTTATGGTTCCTTTATTACTTACTTCTCCCTTTACTTTTTATACAGTCTTATAGTTCCTTCCCCTTCCTTACATAGTTTTATAGTTCATTCACTCCTTCAAAGGAGTGGAGTTGAGGTCTTGGGGGGGAAAGTGAAATAGTAGCTGCTCTAGCAGAGGTCCAGAGAGAAGGTAAAGTTTGTTGTATAGTAAGCTTTAGGCAATATTGCACAGAAGGAATGGCCCCCACCCCCTTGTGGGAGGGCAGTGTTTGAACCTAATATGTGCAAAGAGGAATTTTTGTAATATTTTCCTCCTGTTCTGTTTCTTCCCTTCTTTCTCAATTTTCCTCGTTCCCCTGTGAGAGCATGCCATAATCTGACTCCCAATAAAGTAGCTGAGTTTGAAAGTGATTACTATGCAAAAAAAAGAAGCATGAAAAACTACGGCTCTGGCTTTCTTCCTTTTGTAAGAACCTGGAGACAGACAAGCTGTCTAACTCTGCACAGTAGTATGAGTTTCTGTGAAGACTCAAGCTTTGCTGTTTCCACTGTGTCTGGAACAGACATGTACCTATGCAATCCAGAATTAAAAAATAAACCAGGACTTGGATGTTTACTTGAACTCCACAGACTTGCTTGCTTGCTTCCTTCTCGTACATGGAGTTCTTGAAAGGAAGGAGGCCTAGGGAAGTCTCCTAGTCCGATCTCTAATCACAAATCTGGGGTGTGTACCAGAAGATCAGTATATTATCTGACCATAGGACATAGTACTGCATGAGGAGATGAATAGCCCTGTTCTTCCTTAAGTTCTTCTAGTAGGAATGGGCTTCGCTGATTTCAGCTTATGCCTCTCTGTGGTAGACTTTTTAAACTGTGGAGTGTCTGTCTGGTTGGGGCCAGTATCTGGCCAACTAGCTCTAGTGGCTAATGATGGGGACTTTGGTGGTGGGAGAAACAAAACAGTATCTTGCCTTTCTGAGAAATTACTTTAGTTGAATAGATATGACCCTTTCTGAGGTTTGTAATAGGTTCTGTCAAAGGGCTGGGCAAATAATTTACAGGTCTTATTTGTGTCATCTAGTTGGATTTCCTTTAAACAAGTGTAAGTAAATTGTCTCCTCTGTGGTGGTTTTTACTGTCCAGAAATCGGTTCAGTCCTCCCTCTTCAGGAGGCGACTGGGAATCCGGGCTGCGTTTGAAGTGCTTTCTTCCCTGAGAGAGGCTCCTGCTAATGCACAACAGTAAGTGGACATTGTTGAAACAGTAGATTATCTAGCAGAAAAGAGCAGATGTTTGGTCATCTTGTTTTGTTTAGTATATTTACTGTGGGAACCTTCTTCAAAAATGGCAGTTTTCTCATCTTTTTTTTTTATTTTTTTTCTTAACTGGATGTTTATAACATACTGTTTGGGACTCTTATGGCACCTGTTTCCTTCTTATTTCTACTTCTGATTTTATCTGCTTTTTAAGAAAAG